CCGAAGTTATACTTCATTAACATCTGTGTTAAATGTTCCACAATACCTTTGATGTTCTCAAAAAGTTATGATTTCACTATACACTAAACTAGTCATCATTAATTTTAAGAGTGATATCTAAGTATACATGCCGTGTATTCCGAAATAATTTTAATGACGCTTGTTTTTTTGCACTGTTAGTGTTTGTTATCTATATGGTATTTCTTAAATCGGCTGTGCATTTATATTTCTAACAGATCAACGTTTTTAGTGAATCTCGCAATAGAGTTTAGGTACTTTGAATTCGAGAGATTAGATTTCTCTGTCGACAATAGCTTAATAATGTCGCTTTACAGAATAATATTAGATATAATACTATACGAAGTTTAATCCTGCTAATACTGCAAAATCTTGATTTAGCAGCAATTCGCTTATATCCAAATCCTTTTACACATAACGACTGTACACGTCTAATAAAATTAATTGTATTCGAAGAGTTGTAAATAACGTTTTAAAATTGCATTATTCCATTAGACATACTTACAGTGTAGAAGTATGAAAAATAATTGCTTTCAGTACTTTTTGGTACTCAAAGGATCACAGATTGCATCGATTAACTGGTAAATAAATAATTCGATAAACAAACAAGTAAAGAAACCAATAAGGAACTGGAGGTGGAAGCGATTTTTAATTGAGAGAATGACGTTTCAGTTTTGCTCATAGCCACAATTTGCGTAGAGATGGATTCTCTGGTGATCCCGCAGGTGATGACGATGCTTGAATCGCTTCTTGCAATTTCCGCACTGAAATCTGGGTCCGACGCCGCATTCGAGGCGTAAATGCCTCGTCAAGTTACACTTGTGCGAATAAGTGCGGCCGCATTTCGGACAAAGAAATGGTGGTCCGTCCTCCGCATCCTTCAATCTCTTCCAAACTGTAACATTCGTCGGAAAGGATACAATAAGATATATATGTAATCTCTCCCCCCCCTTTCTCTCTTTCTCTCTCTCTCTCTCTCTCTCTCTCTCTCTCTCTCTCTCTCGCTCGTTCACTCTCGCGAGTCAACGTATGCAAACTAGAGAAGCATTAGGCGGCTAAATAACGCAACAAAAACACCGAATGTGCATATAGCGAGTCATGCCGCAAGTCAGGGCGATTATCACACACAGATTTCTCTTTTTGACAAATAGAATTTCATTCCGTTTGCATACATACGCTTGGTTCTGCGTCGCGACGTCTGTTTTTTTTTCTAAATTATATACATTTTCTATAAATGTTCTTTATGAATGTTATTTATTTATTATTGCCATTGATACTTTTGTGTGATAATCTGTATTATGCTACGTACTGCATTTTTACAACAAAAATGTATCTCTAAAATAAATAAGTTTAATATTATATCTATATCGGGGATAGACAAACGATCATCAGAATTCTCGACTTAAGTATATCTTTTATTTATATCTTACAAGTTTTGTTGACTATAATATTTTATGCTTATGTTAAACATTTTTATTTTGTCCAGCATTCATTAAGAAAGAAATTCGGTATCTGTTTGTTACATTTTAACATTTGATTCGAATTCAAATATAAAAATATCACGTTTTTATATATATATTTTAAATATTTCTTTCATATTACAATCGCAAATTTTGTCCATCTCCGATTTAAGATATTACTTTTAATACAGATATTATTGCTGCATGCATTTAATTTTTAATTACCTACGTCTCATTTATATAATGCGCATAGTAATAATAATAATATTAAAAGACTATTATAATGATCACATAATTGATAGTATCGATTGTGAACTATCGTTAACTACTCCAAAAATGTTTTGCAAAAGAATCACGCATTAGCGGTTAATTCGTAAAAAAATTCGAAGATTGACGTTCATACACATAAATTATCGAATAATAATAAAATGTAGCAAAGAGGGAAATTAGTGTGCAAGGTCATATCTAAATATTAACCAAATTCTGGATCAAAATATGCGTGTTTATTTTTGCTGCAGTTACATAATATATGCAAAGATATGTATATTCGCGTGTATACATAAATTTTAAGTATCATATATCTGACAAAGAGAGCTCATTACATGCATTGCATGTCATAGACTCTCTCCTATAAACTATTACATATGTATATGTACATATATGTATATATAATATATATTATTATTTATAATATTATTATATAATATTATTATATAATATATATATATATAATATTATTATATATATATTATTATATATAGATACAATACATACATACGCATATACATATATATGTGTTCAGACTATTCGTTTCGTTGGCACTCTCTGCTATTTACTCTCTTACGTTCTAGAAATATAGGCATGTTCTTATCACTATCTGTTGTCGCATTCATGTGCAGTGAAAATACACAGCATACATTTTTATTATCCCACGTTTTCAAATAGTTTTTCATTCATATACATTAAATATGTTATAGCTGCATTAGCATTTTGCACGTTCGACAATCACAGTTATTTCTGATTATAAATAATGACTTTAATTCTTTCAAGTAAATTCTTTTCATTATCGACAAATAGACCAGAAATACATGAGCAGTTATACAAGACGTCTCAAAGAAATGTATTCGTATTTCATTTGTAGAATTAATAAAAAAATTTAGTAAATTTAGTAAAATAAATTCTCGTTTGACATATTTTCTATAGACATCCTGTACACAACGGATTTAGTCCTCAACATAGATGATAGACATCATAGACTTAATACTACATTTAATGGCAGAAATACAATTTAAGTTCAAACATTATTCATAATCAGTCTGCCTTGGACAACAAAAATTGTTTGAACAGAAAATCATTATGGCAGTGGATCAGTCTATAAACATTAACATAAAATTTGCTCTGAAACTGCTATTAACAAACATACAACTTATATAAATTTTAATTACAAAAATTAATTGATTTGTTTACGTAAATCTCATGTAAGAGTAATTTATAAAATATAATAATTTCTAAAATATTTAACTATATACATATATAATACATATATTATATATATTATATATATTATATGTATGTCTATAAGATTTAAAAACTGAAACTTGAACACGTTACGTACATAAAAATTATTGGCTTTAATAATAATCTTACTGGTATTGAATCTTACATTTATGGAATAATTTGTTAATTATATTATAGTAATTTAATTAGGTATTATAATTATTATTACATTCGCAAAATCGCAAACCTAACTAATTAGAACAACTAAAAAGGCATCTCGTTTACTAATGGTAACTTTGTTATTGTTTTAAAATACAAGTTAAATTCAAGAGTTTTCTTAACTCTTCTTAACCCATTAAGGACCGCTGGTTGATTTTTCGATAAAAAAAAAATAGATCAACTTTTTATCGTTTTAGACCAATGGTCGCAAAATCGACCACCTTTCCTCCCCTGCCTAACCAATCCCAGGGTGAAAATTTGTGAAAAGTTGGTTCCTTAAGGGCATAGCTTGCCATTAAAAGGATTTTAAATTTTGAGAAAAAAAATTTGTTTTGGTCCTTAATGAGTTAATAAGAGTTTCTTGTACTTATTTCTTGCAAGTTGACAGTTGAGAGATTAAAATTATTTAAACTGATATGTTAATGTTCCTTTTGATACATCAGGTATCTTGTGTGGGTATGTGTGTGATTTCTATCTAATGTCTTATTCCTATCTTATTCTTTGGGATACTTCATAATTACGTACCAAAATTGTTCCATCAGTTGTTCGCTCGTTCGTGTGACATCACTTTAGATGACTTTGTTATATACATACACGTCAAATATATTCTTAGTTCAAACCTACTTGTACGATAAAATATTTAATATTATATTTAGACCATATAATTTTTTCCTCAATTAATAAATAAATAATTCAATAAATGAAAATCTACTAACAATGTTTAACTTGCCGTTTTCTTTCATACAATCGATACAAATCAGCTAAAAATATCAGTTATATCTGTGAATTGTTAGTTAACTCTATATTTGTTTATATTTAATATTTGGATTTTCTGAATGTTTATTGTCTACAATTAATCAAAATGATGTTCACATATAACAAAAACGAGCAGAGCGCTATAGTACTTCTTTTCCTAAAAATCTAAAGGAATTAACAAAATCAGAATTAATATTAAGTCTAAAAAATGTTCATTTGAGACATAGTATTCATAAATATTTTTGTGAATTATTCAATAAAAAAGAATTAGAATTTGAAAGTTCTAAAAATTTTCAACTTTTTAATGTAAGCATATTTTAAATTCAATTGAAATTACGAAATGCGCGTTAAATTCAATTTGAATTACGAAATGCGCGTGAGAGATTTTCAAAGATTATTAAAACTTTCAGAGTGCATTCTCCTCGCATAACATTCAATGGCACCAAATGGTCTAAGATTTTTTATGAGTTCTCATATGTAACAGCAAATTATGCTTGTGTTTGGACTTCTTGTGGCAGATAGGACATTCGAATTGTGGTTCCACACCGCACTCAAATTTCATATGTCTATTTAACGAATGCGGTCTCGTGTAGGCATTACCGCAACGTTGACAATAGTAATAGGAATCGCGATTACTCGCGGTTACCTGGTTGCTGCTGACTTCTATCAATGGTTGGTCATTTTGAATTTTCTTAGTGGCAATATTATCGGGACAAACACTTATTTGATTTTCGGTTGCTGTTGTTCTCGTTGTTGTCTCTTTCGTCAACTGGTTTTCCGCCATCAGACGTAGATACATTGTTTGATACTGATAATACCATTCGATGGCGTCACCTGGCGAGTGCTTGCATTCTAGAAAACACACAAGAGAATCAGTAAAACTTTATCAGAATTATTGCGTCCTTTTGCCATAGGGATTGGCGATCACGCTTTAGTCTAGAAGGATTTATTTATTACGGGATTACGACAAAGACACGGACATACACAGCATGAGTTGAGTTACACGTAGCCATTCACCATAAAAGCGACTGTAAACAAGGCATCCTTGATCGGGTTTTTCATAGGATTACAGGATCTCTTTTTTCATAAGAGGAGGGAGAAAACTTGTTGTCATTTCCCTGAAACGTGTTTTCGATATATTTAATTATGTAGGCAAAATTACATTTTGTTTGTGTTAAAAATATTTTTAGTCTATTGCATTATTTGCACTAAAAATGCTAACGGAAACTATAGTTTCATTGCATTTGGTCGAGTCTATAATAAGGACATGTAATTAAAAAATATAATTAACTTAATATAATCGTTTAGTTAATTTATAGAATGTTTATAGCGAGATCAATATAAATAAAGTTAATTAATATTATATATATATATATATATTAATTAAAATAATTAATAAATAAGTTAAATTATAACAATATAAAACTTGGAGAATATAATAAAGTTTCAGTTGTTGCTAAAAAACAATGCTATTATAAAAAGCAGAAGAAAATTTGTTTTAAAAATAATATGGTAATATATCTTTCTATATCTTTACTTTTGTTAATTATTTAGATCAACTTTTAATATATAATAATTTATTTTTTTACATATATTGAATGACATAGAAATGTAAATTCATTACTTAATAAAGATTTTTCGGAAATTAAATTAAATCTTATATTATTACATATAACAAATTTTAATAATGATTAAGATACAATATTATAAAATGTAACAAATTCAATATAGAAATAATTTATGATTATTATTTGATCTTCTATTTCTGCAACATATAGAAAGATGAAAGATCATTTGTTCTCATAACGTTAATAAATAAATAATTTCTAATATTTTTATTTATTATTATCTAACTTATAAATAAGAAATCTTCTCGGAGCGAATGTCATTTTTTAAAAAAAATTTAACTCTATCGCTGTATTGCTGATAAATTTCGATCACAAATATTTTGAGCTTCGAGACGCAGTCACAAAGCTTTAAAGGCCGGCAGAACTGACGAGAAAACTCATCATTTGCAGTGCAGATACATATTTATACTGTACTATGTATTGTCTTATAGAAGAAATATTTTGCTATTGAAACTTATTTTAATTTATACCTGATGGAAAAAAATAGCTGAAATTGATGAAATCGACAAAAAAATCGTGAAATGAGAAATGAAAATCACAGAAATATTATTGAAAATATTTCAGCATAAATAATACTTTAATATTGAAATACTATAAATTTTAATGATAATTAATGAAAATTAATGAAAAGAAATGAAAAATAATGCACATATATTTAATATATGTATATATTAATTTATTCAGAGATATTGAACACTGAATTATACGCAAATACTATGAATCCTAAAGATAATTATCAAAAATGCATAAAAAAAATGAAAAGTAATGCAGAACATATAATACTTTTATAATTTATTGTACATTGAAATATGTTGAAATACTATAAATTCTAAGGAAAATTAATGAAAATATCTAAAAAGTAACGAAATCGGAAAGAAATATACAATATTTTTACAGATTTATTAATGAAAGTTATCGAAAATGGAAACAGAATAATTAAAATGTGCGTGTTGGAACTAATAGTCGAAAGATTGTAATGAAATTTGCTAAAAAATAATGAAATCAGTTAACATTGTAATGAAATTGAATTGATCTTTCTATATAACCGAAGATCAAATTATCTGCAGATATATCAAATTTACATTTATACTACTTACTTACTTACGTACGTATACTACGTACTTTGGTAAGTATATGTAAAAACCATGTACAAATGCATTGTATTTTATAACGCGAAGCTAAATACAACAATATTTTGTATTAAATTTATTATTATTTATAAAATAAATTTAATATATATATATATTGCAATGGAAATTTTAATAAAATAGTATCTGAAAATGGATCAATTGATATAAATTTCAATATGAAATAATATTTCATTATTATTCATTACAATTCAAATTCAATTTCCATCGGAAATGTTTTATGAAGTTATGAAACCTACTGTTAAACAATCAAATTTTGCAATTTCACTCTTAAAAAGATTATAATAAATAAAATAATCTGCGAAACAAAATGTTTCGTAGAAACAATATTTCGCCATGAGACTTTTTTTTATGTTTTATGAAACTGCGAACCCTCCTAAAGAGTCCAATTTTGCTATTTGAACATTAAAAATATTATAATGAATAAAATTATCTGCATTTTAATTACACTTTACCCAAACAGAACAACAAGTTACGATAACATCAAAATAGCAGTAAAATAACGTTAAAATGATGTCAAAATAATTCCTAAAGATCATTTTGACATCATTTTGATATTACAATGATTTATTCTGCTCGGGTAATGTAGAGTAAGATATCAGAATGAATTTCTATTTTGTGTTTAAAAAAAAAAATTGCTTTTTAACAATACATACAGATATTCTTCAATTACGAATATCACAATTATATTAGGATTTTCTCACTATTTTAGCCGTAATAAGAGAAATTCGTCTCCAACAGAGATCTTCATCGCGACTCCTGTCGGCCTTTAAATCAGGTCACATTCTTTTAGTCCGCGAACTTTCGAAAGAGAAAGCTTTTCACAAAAAAAAGTCACCCGCAGTGATGCGCAGTGATATGATTCCTTAGTTCATATCGATATTTGAACTTTCGGTCACACACGTGGCAGGAGAACTTTTTCTCCTTGTTGCCGCAGTCTACTCTTTGATGCCTCTTCAGACTGTCTAACCATTTATATTTCTTGCCGCAATCGGTACAAACGTAGTGGGTCTGTATCGTCTGTATCATCGGCATGTAGGAGTCTCCACTATACATCTGAACCGGATAATCGCCACCACATCCTAAGGTGTCATGTACTTTCGACGACGAGTACGGAAGGGAATCCTGGCTTTCTTGGCCAATGCTACGCGCCTTCCGTTCCAACATCCACAGGGCGTCGTACTCCTCCGGTTGATCCGTACCTGCGATAAGAAAGCAGAGCGTCGGTGATTAGGTGAATTGCGTCCGAATTGCGTAAAACAAGGTCGAAGTTACGAAGAGAGCGTTACTCGCGTTGCGTTACAGCTATTCGGTTTGAGATCGAGGTGCGATCTAAGTACGAATGAACGCAACAATGACATGCAACAACATTATAAAGCTCGAGGCTGATAGGAACAATTCCACGAGACACGTCAGCAATTTATTCTGTAACGTGGGATTCGAAATTGTGAACGAATTCCTATATTAATTCTCTACGCGTGCATATAGAAGAATTTTTAGGATAGAAATTACATAAATAGTACTTTTGATTTATCGAATCGATAATATTTCACTTCATAATCGAATTTCTATAATCATTATTTCACGCTTGAGATCGGAGCACACAGAAAAACCGACATCACCATTTCCGACATTTAAATAATCATTATTTATTTATTACACAATTATTATTGTCGCAATTATTCCAAAAGAAACTAAATTCTACGATCATTTTTTTTCATGTGTCTATGTCTGTGATTTTTAATATTTTTGTAAAAAAACTTAACTAATTGTGCATAGAAGTATAAGTAGAATACAATACATCTGTATGTGTAACTTACATTCGTATATATAACTTACTTACTTAACTTTTCATCTTATGTTGTGCGACTAAGAAATTTATAATCACTGTTTGAAAGAAAAGATTTTACTTGTTAATAATATTTAAGGTAAGATATACATATAATCTATGTGTAATAAATTAAATTCTAATAATTCTTATTAATTTACATTGCAGTGACTATTAAAGATTTGGACGAAATTTATATAAATATTTATATATAAATATTTTTATAAATATAATATAAATAATAATTATATATTTATATTATTATATAATGATAATATAAATATGTAAGTATTTTATATTTAAACATTTTTATATAATATTTATATATAAATTTATATAAATACCTCATAAATTTTTTAATTATACATGAACAATAGAGATTTATTATATTTATATGCATTAATTTTTTAGATCTTGTAAGTTCATACAGGATATGAAGCTAATGGATCAATTTTAAACAGAATCGTAAGGCTCGTAATTTGTTCTCATAAGACTTATAATTTATAAGAAACCTATGAGAGAGAGAGATTGATGTTTTAATTTTATACTGTAACATATATGATCATTCATAAATATTCAACGATTTCTGATAAGTCTTACGACTAGCAAGAAGCTATCAGTAAGTATTGCATAAAGTTATAAACACTTGTAAATTCTTATAAAAGAATAATATATTATGAGCCTTACAATTTTGTTTAGAATTTAGGCATTAATTTTTCATCAATACGAAAAAACATATAGAGTTCTCTCTCTCTCTCTCTCTCTCACATACACATACACACACACACACTCTCTCTCTCTCTCTCTCTCTTTCTATTTATCTATCTCTATCTCTATCTCTCTTCTTCTTTCATTGTTTCATATTCTTAATGAAGCGAGATGTTAATATTGCACAATTAATAATCCGTTAGAATTCGATTACGAAAAAATTAGTCATTACTATATGTCAGTGTAACTCTTTTAAAAGCACATTTAAACTAATAAATTAGCTGACATTTTTATCGATAGGTCAGTTCAGAGTCTTGTTCATAAAGTTATATTATTTTATCTTATTGTAACTAACACTGAATATGTATATATATATTTCTAAGATTGATCGATATCGCGATCTGACTTCTTCTTATAAACTCGGCTTATCTATTTTTGAAGAATTGTTGCTCTCTTTGTCAGCGCACACTTGATTGCGCTGATGCCGACGCAAAGTATCTAGCCTTTTGTACGATTTGCCACATTGATTACAATAATATTCCTACCGCTCCCTGCCGATCCTGAAACGACGCCAGAAGCTCGTCGCATTTCTGTTGATGACGTTTCAGGCTGTCGACTCTCGTGTACGCTCTGCCACAGCCATCGCAACGGAATTGTTGGCAAGACTTGGAATTTTTCTGGACCACATTTGATTCCACGCTGTTAAGGATCGGCGAGTCACAGAGTAGGTACTTAAGCTGACCGTGAAAAGCTACCTCGCAGATTTCCGGTTCTTCATCATTGCTCTTTTCCGCGGTGCATTGTTCATTCTCGTCTGTAAGGATACCGTTAATTTGTTAAAAAGCGAGAATACATGACAAGATGTACAGAACGACTGGCAAGCGCGAGCAGTATAAAGCCAGCAGCATGCATAATTTAAATTACCTTCCGATCTTGGTTTTGATAATTATAAAGTGTACAATCATAGAGGAATTAAAGAAAAAGAGAGAGAGAAAGAGAGAGAGAGAGAGAGAGAGAGAGAGAGAGAGAGAGAGAAGGAGGAAAAGGAGGAAAAATTCTCTTTAAAACTTTAATTCATTATTAATTATAAAGATTTTTTTTGGCGATTTCTTTTGTTATAATGAAAGATAATAAGAGATTCGTGACACATGTTTTTCGTACACAATTTTGTATAAAAAGTAGGGATTGAAAGTTTAGCAAGAAAGTTACTTTCTCAAAATTTGCAGATATTTATGATTGAAAAAATAATGATAGTGCATAAACATATATATCATATTATTATATAGATATATATATATATATATATATATAGATATATATAGATATATAGAGAGAGAGAGAGAGAGAAAGAGACACGCGTTGTAAACTAATTTATTTATGAACTATAAAATGCATACATACATGCTTATTAAATTTTGTACAAACTTTATATTTATGAATATTACATTCTACAAAAAAATCACGAATATGAATATATAATACGAAGAAAGAAAGATACAGAAATAAGTTTAATGGAAAATTGTATACAATTTTTTACTTATTTTTTATTTATTTTATTTTCTGAAAATAAAATTTAAAACGAATTCTCTTAAAATAGACTTAATGACATTATTAAATATACACACACATATATATATATATATATATGTATATATATTGTGTGTGTATATACATACATACACACATATATATAATATGTATACTTAGCGACTTATTAAAAATCAAAGATGGGAAGCAACTCGTTACTTTTAACGAGGATACAGTTACTTTTCTGTAACTTCATTACTTTTTTTCCATCTATAACTATAATTTTAACTTAACTTACATCTGTTAAATAACTTATAACTAATTTAATGATTATTTTTGTTACTTTATATATTTCAAATTTATTTGTCAATTTAATGTGCAGTCCACTTGGCGCTACATTTGATTGACCAATCAGAAAAATGAAATTTATTAATTGGTCAATCAAAGAATGCTTCAAAACATTTGTAATATCAAGTAGACCGTACTCATATGTGATTGATTATGGCTGCGTTTATATTCACTGCTGAAGTTAGTGTTGGGCTCCTATTCTTGGAAAGAAACGTATACGTAAAATTAAGGAAATACTATAAGTGAAATATTCTCCAATTTATGAAGAATTTGACGATTAAGACGATCAGCAAACAAAAAATTGAATCTTTACAAAAAGAATTGCAGCATTAATTTTTTGAAGTCCAATAGTTCCAATGTTGATAATTAAATGATTGTGACAGAATAAAAAAATTATTTTTTAAATATAATACGACACTTCTAAGTAGTGCTTCTGTTGAATTTTCAGCATTAGTGATTCCGTAATAACGCCAAAGAAAGAGCGACATTTACATGATGATATAATTGAATATCAAATTCTGTTAAAAATTAATAAGAATTTTTAGTAACATTTTGGATTAAAAAATCTATAAGCTGGAATTTATTTGCAATTTTTAGCCGAACATAACATGAAGAATTTTTTTATAAGAAACATTGTCGTATGCTACATATTTTCATATTCATACGTATTTATATTACTTTCAAGAGAAATGTCTTTGCCATACAATTTTCTTATTTTTTTAAATAAAATTGTATAACATGTAAATGTAAACCAGTCTTTTTCTTTGAATGTTCTAGGCCGCGTTAGGTGATTCCATATATTATTCTTGTTTAATATTAGGCAACAAGGATAAAACGATACACGGAGGCACTCGGTTAATGTTTCTGAACGTAGCCTTAACAATATCATGTTACTCGTTATGCTGAAAATTGATGACAAAAAAAGTAACTGAAAAGTAACTGAAAGTTACGTTTTCAGTAACTTAACTGATTGTGAGTTATTTTTCAGAGTCAATCGCTTGTAATGATAATTACTTTTGAGAAAAAAAACTGCAACTATAACTACTGTAATTATTTTTACAAAATAACTTTCCCTTGTTACAAATTGCTTCTCTCTTTTTTTTCATCATTTTCATTAAATTTATTAAAAATTAATTGAGCTCCACGTAAAATCGGTCAATTTATAAGTTTGATTTATAAGTTGAAAAGATTTTGAAAATTATGTAAATAAAAGAAATATGAGCTAAGGGAAAGTAATCGATATTAATATAAATAAATATCTTTAAAAAATATCCTCTTATTTCTCAAAAACTGAATATTGTATTTTATTAATACTGATAAAAATATGATTTATTTAAATGATTAAAAAAATAAAAATGGCGAAAAAAATATTTACGAAAAGGTATAGAAAAACTACATAGACTAGGACAAGATCTTAAAAATTCTTAGTTTTTTCGTTAATATTCCTAGTGGAATGTAGAGTGGCGTTGTTTATTTGAAAAAGAAAGGAATCTTCAACAACGCCACTCTATATCCCATTATGAATATCTATGAAAAACTAATAATTTCTAAGATCTTGTCTCAATCTATGTAGTTTTCATAAAAAATTTTCTGCCAAGATCATAATGTGTCATTGTTGCGTTATATATATATTTGCGTTTTGCAGAACAGTAGATATAAAGTATGCTTATAAATCAATAAAATTCTTATATCAAAGTAAAAAGATTTTTAAAAAATCTTGTAGAACTTCACTTGTAGGTATTTTGTACAGATAATTTCTATGAAAAAAAAAGGAATATGTGGTATTACTGCCTATTGTGTCAGTTTTAGAGCCCATTTTATCAAACGCTCATTTTTTACACCTTGTAAAAATTTAATTATTGCAAAGTTGCAAACTGTATCATAAAAATTGTTATTATCTGATAGATGGTACTTTCTAGTTTGTATTTATGTTTCTAAAATTTTATTTTTAGCTCTGTTTAAGAAATATTGTTCAAAAATAAAATAGTGTGTTAGTATCGGTGACCTTTCTCTAATGTTGTAACATCTTTCAGAATAACAAATGAGTAAACTTTAAATTCGTGAACGAAAATAAGTTGTACGTCAAAATGTGAAATAAATGAAAATAAATCTTATGGCCAATATGGAAGTTTTTTTTCGATACGAAGATACTCAAAGTAATAAGAATTAGCAAATAGAACAGGCCTGTCCAAAATTTTATTCAGACA